CGTCTGTTTCAGATTGGCAGCAGAAGTAGCGTCTATTCTCCCGAGAGTAACGTCAGGAAGACTGGATCCTACATCTATGAGGAGTTCATGCCTACAGATGGAACGGATGTGAAGGTATCGCAGTCGTGTATCTTCAGCAGAGCAAAAAAGCTCACACACTATTTTCATGTATTTTCATATTAGTGGTGGTAATTCTGATTCATCAAAGTGACTAAAATATTTTGATTTTGTTTAGAGGAAAGTTTTCTCTCTCTCTCTCTCTCTCTCTCTCTCTCTCTCTTTGTTTCTGTTCATTCTGTTCTTCACAAAACGTCTTGAAATGTGATACTGTATGTGAAAACTCTTGAGTCGTGTCTGGCTGTTCAGTTCAGTTTAGTTTTTTATTTTATTTCCCTAGCTGACAAGTTGTTTACAGCATTTGGACAAAAAAACATGACAAGTACATAAATTGAGTTTTAGCTAAATTGGTACACTGCAAAAAATTAGGGATGCACCGATATTAAAATTTTGGCCGATACCGATAACCGATAATTCTTTATTTTTGAAAGCCGATAAATGATATGTTGGCCGATAAATTATTATCCAAATTTTTATATACTTTTTGAGAGCCTGATTACAAAAAAGGTTTAAGAATCTAAAAATTCTTAAATCAAGAAGGATTTTCTACTTGTCTATTTTTAGATATCTTGGCTGAAAGAAAAAAAAGAAAAAGAAAAATCTAAGTAATTAAAGCATTTTTTTTTTGCAGTGTAAAAGAGTCCAAAGTTGTTAGCAAAAATGTGAATTGGCTCATTAGTGCCACCTTGTGACAGACTTTTACAGTGTTTATTACACAGGCTCATCTAGTCAGCCTCAGTACACACAGTATATTCCAGTTTTCATAAAGATCAGTCTTTCAGATTGTGCTACGTCTGCAACTTGGATGTTCTTCTACATTACAGTTTTTTTATAGACACTGATTTATTAATGAATGAAGCGCCACTGTTTCATATGCTTTCTTGTGTTTGTGCACATCAGGTGTATACTGTAGGTCCTGACTATGCCCATGCAGAGGCCCGTAAATCTCCCGCTCTGGATGGGAAGGTGGAACGAGACAGTGAGGGGAAAGAGGTCCGTTACCCAGTCATCCTCAATGCCAGAGAGAAGCTCATCGCATGGAAAGTCTGTTCAGCTTTCAAGGTAAATGAAGACGTTGAAAGCAATTTAGATGCTGCTCCTTTTATCAGTTAGAGCTTTATATTTCTCATATCTTATAATTTCTCATTTATAGCAAACCGTGTGTGGGTTCGATCTGCTCCGTGCCAATGGCCAGTCATACGTCTGTGACGTCAATGGCTTCAGCTTCGTCAAGAATTCCATGAAATACTACGATGACTGTGCAAAAATCATGGGGTTAGTACATCATACAAATCCAAAATATCCAGTGATTATATATATATATATATATATATATATTGAATATTATGTTTTATTGTCAGATGCAAAAAAGGTTTTGTATTTTCTTTATTGCAATTTTAATTATAATCAGATGATTATACTTTCGACATTTATGATAAGGATTATGAATGTATTTAATGTACAACAGATTTACAGTGGATTGATATGGTTTTTCTTTGCCCCACAGGAATATCATCATGAGAGAGCTGGCTCCACAGTTTCAGATCCCGTGGTCGATCCCTTTAGAAGCAGAGGACATTCCCATAGTTCCCACAACCTCTGGGACTATGTATGTCCTTACAAGCAAACACTGTTTTAAACTTATAGTGATAATTACATTACCAGTGTTATTAGTATCTAAGCTAGTGCAATTGTTTCTAGGAACTAAAATCTAGTTCTTCCAAAAATGAAATCGTCATTCGCTCTCTTTTCTTGTCTTAAATTCATATGACTTTCTTCCGTTTTCACCAAAACGACAAATTGTTAGCGGGATGTTTTCGCTGACACTCTTATGTACTTTATTAAAGGTATAGTTCACCCATTCTGTCATCAGTTACTCTTATTTTGTTCCAAACCCATAAGACATTTGTTCATCTTCGAAACGCAAATGAAGACGTCTTCAATGAAACCTGAGAGATTTCTGTCCCTCCATTAAAAGTTAATTCCACCAAAACGTTGACAATTCAAAAAGGTCATAAAACATTGTAATCATGTAATCGGTCATCATGTTCATTTTATACAGTGAATAGATTTCATTTAGGCTTTCGTTCACATATAACGCACAGAGCACATCAAATATTCTAAACACAAGCAAGTCCAGTACTTGCTTGAGGCATGAGAACAAACCTCAATGGTTCTTGTGTTTCACACAAGCACTTTTGAGCTTCCATTTGCCATATTCGATGTGCTCTGTGTGTGTCGATCATTGTTTACATGCAAATGAAAGACTAAATGATATCTTCATCATATAAAGCAATTGTGACTTTTCAGGGGACTTGGATTAAACCACTTGATTCATATGGATTGTTTACCATATTTTTATCAACTTTTTGCATCCTCAAATTTTGGTGTCATTAATTTTTAATGGGGGGGACAGAAATCCCACAGGTTTCACTGAAGATGTCTTGTGCTTCAAAAAGGACTAAAAGACCTGTGAATGAATTTCATTTTTAGGTAAAATAACCTGTTAAGTGTTAAAGAGAGTCACAATGTGCTGCCAACTGCATTGATTTCACCCAACTGGATATTCATTTAATTATTGCTTGAGCAGAAGAAAGCCAGTCATATGGGTTTGGAAAGACGGTGAATTAATAATGACAGAAGTTTCATTTTTGGGGAACTGTTCCTTTTAACACACATTAATATTATATGTTATTGCTGATGTACTGAGTTATATCTTTTTATTTCTGTATAAGCTCAAAGTAAATATCCGTTCAAGTGCTGTCGTATGACTTTCAGGATGGAGTTGAGGTGTGTGATTGCTGTGGGTTTCACTAAAGATGTCTTGTGCTTCAAAAAGGACTAAAAGACCTGTGAATTAATTTCATTTTTAGGTAAAATAACCTGTTACGTGTTAAAGAGAGTCACAATGTGCTGCCAACTGCATTGATTTCACCCAGCTGGATATTCATTTAATTATTGCTTGAGCAGAAGAAAGCCAGTCATATGGGTTTGGAAAGACGGTGAATAAATAATGACAGAAGTTTCATTTTTGGGGAACTGTTCCTTTTAACACACATTAATATTATATGTTATTGCTGATGTACTGAGTTATATCTTTTTATTTCTGTATAAGCTCAAAGTAAATATCCGTTCAAGTGCTGTCGTATGACTTTCAGGATGGAGTTGAGGTGTGTGATTGCTGTGATTCGACATGGTGACAGAACTCCCAAACAGAAGATGAAGATGGAAGTTCGACATCAGCGGTACAGACTTTCACCTCTGCTCTGTCGCTGATCTATATTCATCATAAACTCTCACTAATTCCCAAAAAATATGAAAATTGACACTGCACAACTAAAAATCCACTATTGTATTTCTCATGTTGTGTGTTTCAGGTTTTTTGACCTCTTTGAAAAATGTGAAGGTTACAAAAGTGGAAAACTGAAATTGAAAAAACCAAAGCAACTCCAAGTAAAGACATTTTGTTTTAAAAACACATCTCTTCCATCTTTACTTGATCCTCTAACTCTAGCACTCTCTACTCTAATTCTATTCTTTAAAAAAAAAACTTGCCCCTTTTAGACTTGCACTCTATTCATTTACTAACTGCTTGTTTTCTTTAAAAAAATCTAACACTAGCTTGCTCTATTCTTTTTCTATTCTATCTGTTTACTTTTTATTTATTATATGATTTAAAAAAAAAACTTGCTACGTGTACTGCGTTAAGCTAACTGAGACTTGTTATAGCACTCACATATCATTGCTCTTTTGTTGATTTTGATTGCTGCCATTGTCCTCATTTGTAAGTCGCTTTGGATAAAAGCGTCTGCTAAATGATTTAATGTAATGTAAATGTAACAAATATTACTCATCATACATATCTAAAGCATGCGTTTGAATATTGGCTGATTTGCTCAGTTGTTTGTTGTGTTTGTTTGAATTGGACAGGAAGTGTTGGACATTGCCAGGCAGCTGTTGGTAGAACTCGGCCAAAATAACGATTCAGAAATTGAAGAGAGCAAAGCAAAGCTTGAACAGCTGAAAACAGTCCTTGAAATGTAAGTGGGTCCAGTAAATTTATTAATAGGGGCCAAGCAGCAAAGGTGTCTAGGCACCTAGTTATTGTATTATTATTCTTCTGCCATTGATTCTGATTTTGTTGTCTATTCCACAAGAGAATGAAATGCATACAGCAAAAGGGTGGGTAAATGATGACCGAATATTCATTTTTGGTTCAATCTGCCATTACGAATTTTATTGATAAAGCTTTCATCAGATCCTCACCAAATTTAGGATCACCTTTAAATCATCTTCAGATCATGCTAGTAAAAATTTATATCAATCTGATAACGGCACCAGCTTTTGTGGTATTTCAATCACTGATACTAAAATAATGCGGATGTCAAGTCACCTTTATTTATATAGCGCTTTTAACAATACAGATTGTGTCAAAGCAGATTTACAGTATTAAATAGGAAAATAGTGTGTCAATAATGCAAAAGGACAATAGTAAACACTAAATTTTCAGTTAAAGGCAGTTCATCATTGAATTCAGTGATGTCGTCGTCCAGCTCAGTTCAGTTTAAATAGTATCTTTGCAATAATTTGCAATCAAGTCAACGATATCGCTGGAAATTAAGTGTCCCCAACTAAGCAAGCCAGAGGCGACAGCGGCAAGGAACCAAAACTCCATCGGTGACAGAATGGAGAAAAAACCTTGGGAGAAACCAGGCTCAGTCGGGGGGCCAGTTCTCCTCTGGCCAGACGAAACCAGCAGTTCAATTCCAGGCTGCAGCAAAGTCAGATTGTGCAGAGGACTCAACTGGCTCTTGTGGTCTTGTCCCGGTGGCCGTCTAGGAGACAAGGTCCTCACTGGGGATCTGTCTCTGCACATATCATTGCTCTTTTGTTGATTTTGATTGCTTCCATTGTCCTCATTTGTAAGTCGCTTTGGATAAAAGCGTCTGCTAAATGATTTAATGTAATGTAAATGTAACAAATATTACTCATCATACATATCTAAAGCATGCGTTTGAATATTGGCTGATTTGCTCAGTTGTTTGTTGTGTTTGTTTGAATTGGACAGGAAGTGTTGGACATTGCCAGGCAGCTGTTGGTAGAACTCGGCCAAAATAACGATTCAGAAATTGAAGAGAGCAAAGCAAAGCTTGAACAGCTGAAAACAGTCCTTGAAATGTAAGTGGGTCCAGTAAATTTATTAATAGGGGCCAAGCAGCAAAGGTGTCTAGGCACCTAGTTATTGTATTATTATTCTTCTGCCATTGATTCTGATTTTGTTGTCTATTCCACAAGAGAATGAAATGCATACAGCAAAAGGGTGGGTAAATGATGACCGAATATTCATTTTTGGTTCAATCTGCCATTACGAATTTTATTGATAAAGCTTTCATCAGATCCTCACCAAATTTAGGATCACCTTTAAATCATCTTCAGATCATGCTAGTAAAAATTTATATCAATCTGATAACGGCACCAGCTTTTGTGGTATTTCAATCACTGATACTAAAATAATGCGGATGTCAAGTCACCTTTATTTATATAGCGCTTTTAACAATACAGATTGTGTCAAAGCAGATTTACAGTATTAAATAGGAAAATAGTGTGTCAATAATGCAAAAGGACAATAGTAAACACTAAATTTTCAGTTAAAGGCAGTTCATCATTGAATTCAGTGATGTCGTCGTCCAGCTCAGTTCAGTTTAAATAGTATCTGTGCAATCAAGTCGACGATATCGCTGGAAATTAAGTGTCCCCAACTAAGCAAGCCAGAGGCGACAGCGGCAAGGAACCAAAACTCCATCGGTGACAGAATGGAGAAAAAACCTTGGGAGAAACCAGGCTCAGTCGGGGGGCCAGTTCTCCTCTGGCCAGACGAAACCAGCAGTTCAATTCCAGGCTGCAGCAAAGTCACATTGTGCAGAAGACTCATCTGGTTCCTGGTGGTCGTCTGAGACAAGGTCTTTACAGAGGATCTGTATGTGGGGCTCATCTAGTTGTCCTGTTCTCCGCTGTCTTTCAGGGCTGTAGAGGTCCTCTCTAAGTGCTGATCCACCATC